TTCAGGTCCAAGCAGTACTCTTAGACCTGAAGAAGGGGACATACAATTTTGAGGGACCAAGCTTTTTGGGGAATGTTCCCTTCTTCAGGACAAGCTTTTGGGGAATGTTCCCTTCTTCAGGTCTAAGCAGTACTTTAGACCTGAAGAAGGGAACATTCCCCAAAAGCTTGTCCTCAAAATTGTATGTTAGGGCAAATAGAAACAATTGAGTACTGTCAGTGATACTTTTTTTTTTTGCCCTAACATACAATTTTGAGGACAAGTTTTCGGGGTATGTCCCCTTCTTCAAGGTCCAAGAGTACTGCTTAGACCTGAAGAAGGGGACATTCCCCAAAAGCTTGTTCTCAAAATTGTATGTTAGTGCAAATAAAAAAAAAAGTATCACGGACAGTACTCAATTGTTTCTAACATACAATTTTGAGAACAAGCTTTCGGGGAATGTCCCCTTCTTCAGGTCTAAGCAGTACTCTTGGACCTTGAAGGGGACATACCCTGAAAACTTGTCCTCAAAATTGTATGTTAGTGCAAATAAAAAAAAAAAAAGTATCACGGACAGGACTCAATTGTTTCTGACATATGGGGAAAAAAAAAAAATGGCATAAGTACGACACGTTACATAAGAACCTACAGATCTTGTTTTAAAAGGCAACTGCTCATTGTTCTGCAACTGCTCCTTTCACACAAACCTTTGAAGCCTGAATTTACATGACAGCACCAGTCACAGCACAGAACACAAGGAGCAGCGCCCTCACATAAAAGGGATTGCTGACCTTCAAGTTAAGTGCAATAACAATGCTTACTAGCTTCACACAGCTCATGTTAGAGTACGACCATTAAAATGTAAGTGCACTTTTACTAGTCATTTTATTATCACCCCGGGCCCCTTTCTGCACTATTAAACAGAATATATCCAACCTCCCAAGGACTGGTCAGTACAATACGGCTGCAGCTCTAGCATTTTCTCTACCCTAGTGCGGTCCCTGTATTCCAAACAGTGCAGGACATGTACCGAGGAAGCAGTACTGACTTTAGTCTGAACTGCACAGAATAGGGCGATGTCTATGGTCACATTGTGAGCGCACTGATGTCACAGTAAGTTAAGCCCCCCCCCCCCTACATCTTTCGCCATCAAATACCATCAGGAGAACAGGAGCTCCTCTTTCCCTGACGAATGCCCTCGCTCTCTCTGATTGGTCTCACCGGGCAGCGTCAAGCAGGATTAGGTTTTACAGTGATGAGGGGTGCGGAGGACTTGGAGACAAGTTGGTTATTAAAAGACTCTCATAAGACAAGCAGGGCTCAGTATGAGAAAAATCAGTTAACGAGAATCACAAATCCCTTTACAATCTCAATTTAGCCCTCCATTAGGCTGTAAATGAAAGGCAAAGCCATGAAACTGGACAGAAACAGAACACTTGTGTACAGCCTTGCAGTAAGCCGTGTCTGGTTACATTACTGGTATCAATGAAAGCAATGAACGTGCAATGTGATGTCCTAGGCCATACGCCGTTCTGGGGGTGGGAAACCAGGATCAGATGCCGCAGCATTGCCATTAACAAAGACATAGGGCCTGGGACACCGAATTGCCCCATGATCACCATTGGGCAGTACGGTTACAAGTCCATATGTTAAAATGTTTTAAATTCCCCCAAAAGAAATTGATTTTCAGGAAGTTCTGCAGGCTTAGTACAAACATTCCAATAACGGTTTTCATTTACGTAAAAATCTGCACTGCATGAAATTTCTAAAAGTTTGTACAAACACCATGGGGTTTATTTACTAAAGCTGGAGAGTGCAAAATCAGGATCCCTTCAGCAGAGCAACCAATCGGCTTCCAGGTTTAATTGCCAATGCTTAATTAAACAAGCTGAGGTTAGAAGCTGATCAGGCTCACTTCGGCAGAGCAACCAATCAGCTTCCAGGTTTCATTACCAAATCTTAAATAAACAAGCTGAGGTTAGAAGCGGATTGATTTCTATGCCGAAGTGAGCCTGATCAGCTTCTAACCTCAGCTTGTTTAATTAAGCATTGGCAATGAAACCTGGAAGCTGATTGGTTGCTCTGCCGAAGTGAGCCCTATCAGCTTCTAACCTCAGCTTGTTTAATTAAGCATTGGCAATGAAACCTGGAAGCTGATTGGTTGCTCTGCCGAAGTGAGCCCAATCAGCTTCTAACCTCAGCTTGTTTAATTAAGCAACAGCAATGAAACCTGGAAGCCGATTGGTTGCTCTGCCGAAGTGAGCCTGATCAGCTTCTAACCTCAGCTTGTTTAAGCATCGGCAATGAAACCTGGAAGCCGATTGGTTGCTCTGCCGAAGTGAGCCCCATTTTCACTCTCCAGCTTTAGTAAAACTCCCATCTGTCAATGCTGCAATTACACAAAGGAGTATTATGTGCCTGCAGCGAACTCAATGACCAATCAACTTGATGTACTTCTCCAGTAATGCCTGGCACAATGAGCTATGTACAGATTGACTGATGTATAGAGTCTCATTAACTAACCAGGTATAGCGAATGTTGAATGCGAACAAAAGCATTGTTCATATCTCTACTAAAACAAGATAATAAAAAAAGTCATCCAAGATTGCAAATCGAAACCAACAGATCTAAGTAGAAAATAATATATATATATATATATATCATATATATTATAACTATGTATGTATGTGTCCTGTATGTATGTGTGTGTATGTATGTGTGTATATTGTTTGTTGTTTGTATTTGTGTGTGTATGTTTTGTGTGTCATGTATTGTGTGTAAATGTATGTGTGTGTATGTATGTGAATGTCTGTTTTTTGTGAACAAATGTATTGTTGTGTATGTATGTGTACTAAAATGTGTGTTGTATGTATGTATATGTGTGTATGTATGTATATGTGTGTTTCGTATGTGTATGTTCTAAGTATGTGTGTGTATGTGTGTGTGTGTGTGTGTGTGTATGTGTGTGTATGTATGTGTGTGTATGTGTATGTATGTGTGTATGTATGTGTGTGTGTGTGTGTGTGTGTGTATGTGTGTGTTGTGTATGTATGTATGTATGTGTGTATGTTATGTATGTATGTGTGTTGTATTTGTATGTATGTATGTATTTTAAATTCCCCCAAAAGAAATTGATTTTCAGGAAGTTCTGCAGGCTTTAGTACAAACATTCCAATATGGTTTTTTTTTACGTAAAAATCTGCACTGCATGAAATTTCTATGTTTGTACAAACACCATGGGGTTTTATTTGTGTGGAGTGTGCAAAATGGATGTTCAGCAGAGCAACCAATCGTTCCAGGTTTATTGTATGTTAATGTTGTGTTGTAGTTGTTTTTGTCTCTATGATAATAAAAAAAGTATCCAAGTGTGTCGTATTTTTATCTAAGTAGAAATAATATATTTTGTATTTGTATTTGTTTTTTTTTTTTTTATTGTATGTTTGTATGTTTGTTTTTGTTTTTTGTATGTATATCTGTGTAACACGCCATGTTAGCTTGTGTCACTACTCACTGCAGACAACTTACTGAAGTGTTGTGAACGACCAGCAGACATCACCCCGGTGGAAAGCCACTACGCTGTGAATAATCGCAGTCTAAGCATTACACGTTATTCTGGTGTTCCTGTGATACTCGGGATAAAGAAATTCAAAGTTTCACTCTGTTAGACGAAGAGATGCATCTATTGTTCTTATGGGATTAAGTGGTTACAACACATTTTGGCACCTGTTCATTTGGCAATGAATGTGCAAAGATTACACTGAAATGTTATTGTGTTTAGTGAGTTGCTAAAGATTTAACAAAAAACATTCTGTAAGAAACATTTTGCAGCATCTGAATGGGAGGTTTCCCAGCCCTGATGGTACAGTCATGTTTCTTCCATTCTATGTCTTTTTGCTGCAGAAATATTTCGGCTCCATGTTTTTAGGCTTAAAAACGCCAATGCTTTTGGCAGAAAAAAAAAAAAAAAAATGCCAGTTTTGAGCGGTTTTGTACTAGCGGTTTGATTTTTTTTTTCTCTGCTAGAAAAACAAACATTCTCAAAAACGCAAAACAGAAGTGCTTTTTTTTTCTGCCTCTAAACATGGAGCTTAAAAAGTACCTGTAGATGAATGCGCATGTACACATAGGATGGCATTAGCTGCTGCTGCAGGCTAAACGCCGAACTCTAGAAGCAGCATTTTTTTTTTGTTTTTAAGCCAGTGTGCATGGAGCCTAACAAATGATTGATCTTCCTTAGCTTTCCACACAGCCTACAACTGGAGCCCAGTCACCACCATTTGTGTGTACAGTCAATTCACTTCTGCGAAACTACTATTTTTTTTATGGTATTTTTTTTAGCCTTTTTTTTTTTTTTTTTTTTTTTTTAATTCATCTCTTCTGCTGAACAAATATAAAAAATTACAATCTGATCTGTAACATTAATTTGCAAATGGCCTCTGTCTGTCTTTTTCTGAAGTACCATACGTTCCTGTATATGTTTTCAATGCAAATTAACCGATAAGCTACTTTAAAGATCTTTCTTACACGCTTCAGGTTCCAGGCACATGTTGCCCAAAGCATTTTAATTTTACAATTACTTTCTTTTTATTAAAATATATTTATTCCAAACAAGGATGGTTGTAGAAAAAAAAAAAAAAAAAAAAAAGTCCTTTTTCCAGTATTGCAACACTGACCACATCTTAGAATGGACCGCAGGAGACAATAGATCATGCTGCCATTTCAAGAAATCCACAACCGTATGGGCAATATGGTGGTGTTTAGGCACAAACCAGAAAAAAAAATAAAACAAAATAAATAAAAAATACTCAATATAGGACAGATCTTGCGTAATCTGAGATTTAACATGGCACTGTTGAATTGGATTCATCTTGCCATGGTAACCAATAGTCAGCGGACTGACGTTTAACTTCTGGTCAATCTAGAAGCTCAGTGACTAAGAAAACACTTCCAAGCTCTAGAAATCGTACAGTTCCAAATGCCAGAGCCTAGAAAATAAAATCTCCAGGGATTTCTTGCAATACTGGCTCTTCAAACTTAAAAAATCGCTTTGTAATGGCTTTAGATTCAGATTGTTTTTCCATGTCAGTCTGTCTGCACTGTCCCAATGTGTAAGAAGCCATCAAGATCAACTCCTCTGTTACAGTCTGTTCTTCTGAGTCTACCTGACCTGGACTGGTTTCCAGGGAACTTTCTGTTTTCAGCTCCTCCTCCGATTGTACTTCCTGGCTGTTGTCCTGTACGGAATTCATGGCACTAGCATAAGGATCCGGGAGATCGCCCTCAGCTAGCCATGGATGCTGGAGACAGTCCTCAGCATTCGCCCGACTTCTGCCAAACAAAAAGGAAAGGATAGATTTACAACACGATCCTAACTCACAAAAGAAGGTCTAAAAAGTACTAGATTGTGGTCGCTGTGAACACACCTGGAAGTGTGTGTGCGTAATACATATATATCTGTAATAATAATATATCGTTTGCACACACAAAGAAGGGGTACAAGTGGTATTTTATTATTAATGTAGCTTCACAAGTGGGGGTTCTGAATCCATGAAATATGTTCTGCATCTGCCAACAGGTCCCACCAGCCTTCAACAGCATGCAAGAAAAGATGATACCTTGCGTACTAGCATGCAAGAAAAGATGATACCTTGCGTACTAGCATGCAAGAAAAGATGATACCTTGCGTACTAGCATGCAAGAAAAGATGATACCTTGCGTACTAGCATGCAAGAAAAGATGATACCTTGCGTACTAGCATGCAAGAAAAGATGATACCTTGTGTACTAAGGGCACATAGAGAATTGCTGGATGGTGTTGGCAGCATTTGTCGCATTTATGGTGGAATTTACTATTCTGTAATATTGCATTGGCCTATATACTGTATGCTCATTTTAAAGTTCTAATGGTCATAGTTTAAATCAGGGTGGATTTGATTTAAATCAAACTGATTTAAATCACGATTTAAATCACTAGTCAGTAAGGCTGGATGTAAATCCTAGTTTTCTACATAAAGACTAATTCTTGCTGGTATAACTTTAATATGCAAGTAGATGAAGATTTTTAGAATTATTACATTACATGGAGTTTATATAGCGCCAAAGGGTTTGCTCAGCGCTGTACAATAGAGGGGGGGACAATACATGAAACAGAACAGCAACTACAAACAGCACACGAGGGGTTAGAATAACTTTTCATATTAGTTTTTTATCCCCAGTTTAATAAGTTAATCATTCATATTTGGACAACTTTTCTGTTGTACTTAGGAAGGAGAAAAATAATCATTACCTTAATAATAACAATTTAAATAGATTTATTCAACTGAAACAATAACATTCCAGCATATGTGATTTGCTTAAACATCCATGTTTGTTAACTAATTTGGCTAAACAAAATATATATATTTGAGGAAACTTAGACTGTCGGCCCCCCCCCCTCCTCACACTGTCGGCCCCCCCCCCCCCTCCTCACACTGTCGGGCCCCCCCCCTCCTCCTCACACTGTCGGGCCCCCCCCCCCTCCTCCTCACACTGTCGGGCCCCCCCCCCTCACACTGTCGGGCCTCCTCACACTGTCGGGCCCCCCCCCCTCCTCCTCACACTGTCGGGCCCCCCCCCCTCCTCCTCACACTGTCGGGCCCCCCCCCCCTCCTCCTCCACTGTCGGGCCCCCCCCCCCCTCTCCTCACACTGTCGGCCCCCCCCCCCCTCCTCACTGTCGGTCGGTCCCCCCCCCCCCTCCTCCTCACACTGTCGGCCCCTCCCCTCCTCACACTGTCGGCCCCTCCCTCCTCACACTGTCGGCCCTCACACCTCCCTCCTCACACTTAGTTTCACTTTCTTCTTGTGCAGATCTATTCCACTCCAAACAATCAGAAAAATATTGTTTCTATTCTATTCACTGAACTTCTTGCACCTTCGCACTGAAGGGGTTGATTCTGTATTCATAGGTTTGTAGAAAGTTAGGATGAAGGTCTTTTTCTTAACTCTGTTCATGTTATAACATTTTTGCTGTGAAGAAGAGGCCTGTGATCTCCGCTGAGTCACATTCAGTTTTGAGAACTGCAAAAGTAAACCAATCATCTGTGATAATATCTTGTAGGCAGAGAAACTGCCCAATAATCTGACAGAAACCTCTGGAGAGCGTGACATTGTGAATGGATTCATGGAATTTATTTACCAAAAAAATTATACCTATACAGCCTTATTCTACATAATTAAAAAACGAATCTTTATTTCATGATGGAATAACCTTTGGATGGTAATATATTTTCCTCAAACAGCATTTTATTCAAAAAAAACCCGATTTAAATAAAAAAAAAATTCCAATTTAAATAAAAAAAAAAACCCAATTTAAATTAAAAAAAAATCCAATTTAAATAAAAAAAAAATTCCAATTTAAATAAAAAAAATTCCAATTTAAATAAAAAACAATCCGATTTAAAATAAAAAAAAAAAGTTTTTGATTTTTTTAAAAAAATCATTGATTTTTATCCACCCTGGTTTAAATTAATATGGGACATGGAAAACATGAGAGGGCACCTAAAAGTCCCATCTGTTTAGGTGATTAGGGAAGTTGGGAGTCAGCAGTCTTGAAGGCTGGCCATACACTGTTTGAATCTGCTGAAGCGGGCCGAGATTCTAACCATGTATGGGCAGGCTGAATGTACCAAGTTGATCGATCAACCTGAGTACAACCAGTTTGCCAGGTTTTACATGCAATTATTGCCAGCAGCTAGTATAGCCGTATAGAATACAGATACTGAGAAGCAACCACTCCCCCCCCCCCCCCCCCCCCTCCCCAGTATGACCCACCCTCAACCACTGGGCCAGGGTTGTGGGGAAGAGTCCTCTGTCATCAACATGGGGACAATGTGCACCCCCATCCCTGCTCCTTTGTTTACAAATTGCTCATCACTCTGGAATACCAAGCTGACAGCTAAAACAGCAGGGCAGGGATGAGTTGCTGGTTGTTAGTAGCCCAGCGCATCAAATTCAAATAACTAACTCTCACCTACATTCACAATGCCGCCCCAAACTACCTTACTGACCTGATACCCAAATGCCACCCTACCCGTGCCCTCCGCTCCTCACAGGACCTCCTACTCTCTAGCTCCCTGGTCTCCTCCTCCCACGCCCGACTGCAAGACTTCTCCAGGACTTCCCCCATCCTCTGGAACTCCCTACCCCAATCCATCAGACTGTCACCTACCCTCCTCACCTTCAGGTGCTCCCTGAAAACCCACCTCTTCAGGGAAGCCCACCCCACCCTCACCTAACAACTGATCTCCTCCACTCTTCCTACCACTCCATCCCCCACAGCCACTTCCTCCTGTACCACTATCCCCTCCCTCCTAGATTGTAAGCTCGAAAGAGCAGGGCCCTCGAACCCCTCGTGTATTGTATTGTTACTGTTTTGTCTCATGTTCTGTCCCCCTTCCTATTGTACAGCGCTGAGCAAACCTTTTGGCGCTATATAAATACTGTATAATAATAATAATAATAATAATAATAGTAGGCTAGCGGGTGCCAGTTCCCTGACAACCAGCATCTCTGAGCTGGAATAGTGACATTTAGCAGCAGTAGGAATACCTCTGCTAAATGTTTCAAGTACTAATCTATAAAGTTGTTACATAGTGAGAGGATAGACCCCATTTTATTTTATTTTTAGTTAATGGTCCTTATATTGTTTCTGCTGTATTTACTGCATTTTAAGTCAAAAGGGTTAAACAAATATCATTTCTTCTTGAACGGTCCTTTGATACTAAGAAATGGGCATTTTCCCACCAATTGTAAGAAACATTATAAATACTAAACAGAAAACAAGTCAATTAAATGTAAACATCATATAAAACAAATTCAATGTCCAAAAGACATGACATACTGATGAGTTGTAGGAACCAACACCCAGACAAGCTAGTCTGAAAGATGCAATGTAGGCAATTCACAAATCATGAAAATGTGCTCTCAGCAGTTCAGCTTCAAGGAGGAAGGCAGATATGGATGCACAGACGCAGGAAGCAGCAGATAAACTGAGGAAATGGACGTGTACAGGGAGATGAATACAAGGACTTACTCTGGCTCCTTCACTAAAAGGGCTTTGATAAAATCAATAGCCAGTTCCGATATCCCGTCAAAGTCCCCGTCTGTGTAACTGACATTCAACTGAGAAATGTTTAGGAAAGTGTGCTGCTTGTCGTCCCCCAGGAAAGGGGAGGTGCCTGTGAGCATAACATAGGCCAGTACCCCAATGCTCCTAAAATGAAAACATACAATGTTATTGGGTTTAGATCATTATCACAACAGATCTACATGCATTCCACACACGTTTGTATAAAAAGTACTTGTACTTGCCACATATCAGTAGCTGTGCTGATGGGTTCATAACTCAGGATCTCAGGTGCTTAAAAAAAAAAAAAAAAAAAAAAAAAAAAATCTATGTATTAATACAAAAACACTAATATTTGAGTATTACAGCATAAACAAATTGTTAAGTAGAACTACAGGCAACCCTTTGTCACCAATGCTTTTTTTTAATCTCACTGGGACCACTTCTGGCGACTGTTTGAAATTGTATGGATTGTGGGAACTCGCTTCAAAAGGGTAGAGCTTTTGTAACGCACACAGCAACTCGCTTGCTTTTTAAAGGCCTTTTTAGCCAACTTTTATTTATATGAAAGTTCAAAACATCAGAAGTTTCCCACACAGGGGTATCTATCATCAATTTAAACAAAATTCAGCCTCCTGGCTCTCTCAGATATACACAATCTTCCACTGGCCTTCCTCTTCAGGCTTACGTCTGTCTCCTGCAGACTCTTTCAAAAATATGGCTCTCGCACACAGCTGGCCACTAGCACACAGCTAGTCTCTAGCAGCGCCTTGCTGCTTTTGGCTTCCACCTCTCCTAGGTGAAGCCCACCTGACTTCAAGGCAGTGACCACCTGCCTGCCGGGTTGGAGCCCTCCTGACTCCTATCCGCCAGGGTGGAGCCCTCCTGACTCCTATCCGCCAGGGTGGAGCCCTCCTGACTCCTATCCGCCAGGGTGGAGCCCTCCTGACTCCTATCCGCCACGGTGGAGCCCTCCTGACTCCTATCCGCCAGGGTGGAGCCCTCCTGACTCCTATCCGCCAGGGTGGAGCCCTCCTGACTCCTATCCTGACTCCTATCCGCCAGGGTGGAGCCCTCCTGACTCCTATCCGCCAGGGTGGAGCCCTCCTGACTCCTATCCGCCAGGGTGGAGCCCTGACCTGATCCGCCTATCCGCCAGGGTGGAGCCCAGAACTCTGGTCCTGACTCTATGAAAAGGCCTGCACACACCTATGCAATCAGTCTCCTGGCCATTCCCAAAACCTGGTCCCAGGATTGGAGATTTCATCCCTCCCAGATCTCTTTGAAATCTCCAGGCTCCATATCCCAAAACAGACCTTACAAAGGAGGAAAGTGAAAAGCCACTTTCCTCCGTATCAAACACTTACCCTGGAGCCCCTCAACCTGCCTTGTTGAGAATCCTGGGTGACAGATCGCCACACTGTCACAGGATGTAAAAGGAATCTCGACTGGGAATGAACATAAGGTTGCGGCTTATGCAGATGACATGCTATTATGCTTTATGCCGTGAACCCTAGAGTAACGTTACCCAATTTAATGAAAATCTTAAAATATTATGGCGAATTGTCAAATCTGAAAATCAATCCCTCAAAATCAGAGATACTAAATATTTCACTTTCAAAGTTAGAAAGAGAGAGCTTGCAGGAAGACTTCCCCTTTGTATGGAAATAAAGAAAATTAAGTTATTTAGGAGTAAAGCTCACCCCTTCTTGGAAAAATCTGTATCAAATAAACTACATCTCACTAATAAACAAAATTAAGAAAAAAAAAAAAAAAAAAAAAAAAAACCCCCCCACACTACAGGCAACTGTTTTTCACTTTGGATAGAGTAAAGATTAGAACCTCCAAGGTTTATTGTTGCCTTTTGTCCCATTGGGGAGATTTGCCTTCACTTCCTCTCCCATAGGAGAAACAAGAAGAGAGAAGAAATCACTGCAAATTAAAGGGAACATCTTGGGGAATTCCAGGTCATCAGAACTAGTGTCCCCATTGTAAGATTTCCCCTCCATTCCTTTTCTGGGGACATCCCAAAACTTGGGATTTTCTTTTACTTTCACGATAATCGTAAGCAGGACAAATAGAGAGGGTGAATCTCCCCAAAGGGGGCACAGACAGCAATAAAAATTGACAAGTGTTCTAGTCCATCTCCACTCTATCCAAACTAAAAGAAAGAAAAGAAAAAAAAAAAGTTATGCTTTTAGTTATACTTTAACTACTTGCCAACCGCAGATAGCCGAATGACGGCTACACTGCGGCCGGCCAGTTCTGGGAGGGCATCATATGACATCCTCCTAGAACGCGCTCTCCTGCGCGCCCCTGGCGATCTCCGTGATCGCTGTGTCCTACAGACACAGCTTATCACATGATGTGTCAAAAGGCCAATCACAGCGGCCTTCTACCACATGATCAGCCGTGTCCAATGACACGCTGATCACCGGGAAATGCAATTGCCGGTTCTCGGCTGCACTTTCCTCACGCTGTCAGAGCGTGAGGAAAGTACTGCTGAGAACCGGCAGTTGTCAGAGCAGGGAATCGGCACCAATCATCAGGGCACTGATGATCGGTGCCCAGCAGCGCCACCCACCAGTTCCCCCCACCTGTGCCCATCAATGCAGCCCAGCAGTGCTGCCAGTCAGTGCCACCAGTCAGTGCCCAGCGGTTGTGCCTATCAGTGCCACCTCATTAATGCTGCCTATCAACGCCCATCAGTGCCGCCCCACCATCAACGCCCATCAGTGCCGCCCCACCATCAACGCCCATCAGTGCCGCCCCACCATCAACGCCCATCAGTGCCGCCCCACCATCAACGCCCATCAGCCGCCCCACCATCAACGCCCATCAGTGCCGCCCCACCATCAACGCCCATCAGTGCCGCCCCACATCAACGCCCATCAGTGCCGCCCCAGTGCCGCCCCCACCATCAACGCCCATCAGTGCCGCCCCACCATCAACGCCCATCAGTGCCGCCCCACCATCAACGCCCATCAGTGCCGCCCCACCATCAACGCCCATCAGTGCCGCCCCACACATCAACGCCCATCAGTGCCGCCCCGCCCCATCAACGCCCATCAGTGCCCATCAGTGCCGCCCCCATCAACGCCCATCAGTGAAGAAGAGAAAAAGTTACCTGTTTGAAATATTTTATAAATAGAAACAAAGAAATTTTTTTTTTTTTTCAAAATTTTTTGCACTTTTTTTGTTTATAGCGCAAAAAGTAAAGCGCCCAGCGGCAATTAAATACCACCAAAAGAAAGCTCTATTTGTGAGAAAAAAAAAATGATAAAAATTTCATATGGGTACAATCTTGCATTACCGCACAATTGTCAAAGTGCGACAGCGCTGAAAGCTGAAAATTGGCCTGGTAAAGAAGGGGGTATAAGTGCCTGGTAGGCAAGGGGTTAAGTATGTCCATTTTATAAAAGACTACATGCCAGGTTCTTTGACAGCACTCATTCGTGAGCTTCCAGCAGGACTTCTACCACAGTACATACCAAGTCCATAGACAGCACTCCTCAGGAAGCAGACAGCAGGATTCATGCAAATCCATAGACAGCACCCGTTGGTGAGCTGCCAGCAGGATAAATAGCAGTTTCCAGACTACAGTGCACTGACCTCCTGAGCTGCTTCTTGGAATTAACCCTAAACCTGCTAGTCAACACTGCTTTTTAACCCCCATTTACATAACCCTACTTCAATAGGCCACATTCTAAAAAGTTTATATTTCCTGCAACAGGTTATTATAAACTGTACTCAAATGTTTCTTATTTACATCCTGAAAAGATACTTACCAACATATTCTGGGGTCCCCATAATTTCTCTCAGTTCCTCATTGTTATTCACAACCCTGGACAAGCCAAAATCCACAATTTGTATGTCTCCAAGTGGACGGTCACTGGTCAATAGAATGTTTTGTGGCTGTAACAAAAAAAAAAAAAAAAAAAAAAAAAAATGTTTTATTGTTTTTTAAAAAAAAAAAACAAAAAAAAAAAAACAAAAACCAAAGTGTGTTAAATGATGGTGGGGCCTAGCGAGTGATTTTTGTGTTCTGTGTGCAGAGGGTGCACCCTGGTACGTCACCTGTACGTCACTGTAGTAATGCCAACAACTACAGTGATTTTCAGCTTCCCCAGTGGCCCCTCAGGTATGATATATGAATACTTACATTTTGTCCAGCTTGCCACCATATAAGTACTTAAAGCAGATAATTCCTGCAGTTCAGCTTTACTAGGTTGATCTGTTCATATGTTTATGTGTCTTTTATAAACTAGGGCCCATACCATGTTCAAGTCTGAACAGATTTCCAATGTGAGGATGTACAGTTGGGTCCATATATATTTGGACAGGTCTTTACCAAAACATATTCAAGCTATAGTTATATTATGGATATGGGCTGAAAGTGCACCCTCTCAGGTTTAATTTGAGGGAATGTACATCCAAATTGGAGGAAGGGTTTAGGAATTACAGCTCTTAAAGAGTAGCCATCCCCTCTTTTTCAAGGGGCCAAAAGTAATTGGACAATTGAATCAAAAGCTGTTTCATGGCCAGGTGTGGGCTACTCCTTCGTTATTTCTTTATCAATTAAGCAGGTTAAAGGTCTGGAGTTGATTCTAGTGCGGTATTTGCATTTGGAATCTATTGCGGTGAACCTACATCATGCGTTCAAAAGGAGCTGTCCATGCAAATGAATCAAGCCATTGTAAGGCTTCAAAAACTAAACCAATCCATCAGAGAGATATCAGCAATATTAGGAGTGGCCAAATCAACAGTTTGGTATATTCTGAGAAAAGAAGAACTTACTGGTGAGCTCAGCAACATAAAAAAGGCATGGACGTCCACAGGAGACAATGGTGCATAATCACAGGATCCTCTCTATGCTAAAGAAAAACCCATTCACAACATCCAGACAAGTGAAGGACACTCACCAGGAGGTGGGCGTATCATTGTCAAAGTCTACAATCAAGAAAAGACTTCACGAGATCAAATAGAGGGTTCACCACAAGGTGCAAACCATTCATAAGCCTTTAGAATAGAAAAGCCAGATTAGACTTTTCCAGAATTGGTCTGGCTTTTTTAGATTTTTTTTTTGGCAAAGCATTCTTTGGATGGATGACACCAAGATTAATCTGTACCAGAATGACGGAAGAAAAACGTGTGGAGAAGGCTTGGAACAGCTCATGATCCAAAGCACACAACATAATCTGGAAAACATGGTGGAGGCAGTGTGATGGCATGGGCATGCATGGCTTCCAGTGGCACTGGGTCATTGGTGTTTACTGATGTGACAGAAGACAGAAGCAGCCGGATGAATTCTGCAGTGTTTAGAGATATACTGTCAGCTCAGATTCAGCCAAATGCAGCAAAGTGGATTGGACGGCGCTTCACAGTACAGATGGACAATGATCCAAAACACACTGCAAAAGCAACCCAGAAGCTTTTGAAGGAAAAAAAGTGGAACATTCTGCAATGGCCGAGTCAATCACCTGATCGCAACCAAATTGAGCATTAATTTCACTTGCTGAAGGCAAAACCAAAAGGCAGAAAGACCCACATTGAACAACTGAAGACCGCTGCAGTTAGAGCCTGGCAAAGCATCAGAAAGGAGGAAACCCAGTCTTTGGAATCCATGGACCTGACCAAACTTCAGGCAGTCATTGCCAGTAAAGGATTCTCAACAAAATATTAAAAATGAACATTTTATTTATGATTATATTCATTTGTCCAATTATATTTGATTCCCTGAAAATGGAGGGACTGTATAAAAAATGGTTGCAGTTCCTAAAATGTGTACTTGATAGTTATGTTCAACCCCTTGAATTAAAGCTGAAAGTCTGCACTTCAAATTCATTTGGATTGTTCCGTTTTAATTTACTCTGGTGGCATACAGAGCCAAAAGTATGAAAATTGTGCCTGTGTCCAAATATATATGGACCCAACTGTATATTTAAAAAAAACACTTTTTGTATGGAGGGGAAAAAAAAAAAAAAAATGCACACAAATCTCTAGGGACCCGATTCACATTCTTGTTTATACTTTACCAACTTCATTTATAAACTTAACTTTAAATTGATTTAATTCAGTCTTAAATATTGGATGCACAAGAACTACAAGACTGATGTTTGATGGCAAAAATTTAGATGTACTTTTACTACATGCTACTGAAAGCTTAGGTTGTAAAATGCAGCAAGCTTCAGCAAAGTGGTGCGAGAGGCGCACCCATGTCCATAACGCACCAGGTCTTTAATGTGTTTTCTTACATAAAGCACTTCTCTGAAATCTCTTCTCAGTATACTGTCCCATACTGATCCAAGATCAAATCTACAGGCTGGGTTGTCGTGTTCAGTTGCAACTGCACCCTAGCAATTACAGCACTGTCAAAACTTGACTTGCTTACTCAGCCATAATTACAGCATCCAGACTCCTGAAATGTATTGTATACATGACTAAGCAATTTGATGAGATTGAAGAGTTTAAAAAGGTACATACATAAAATAATGGTATTTTGATTTGGTGACAATTTATGTGTATGGTTTAGGCAGACAACCCTGACAGGATTACCCAAAATTGATTTTTTTGTGGGCCAGAGGAGCCAGATGATAGTAGTATTGTGTAGATATCTATTAGAAAGACTAATGAGTAGGCTTTCAGATGTACTAATTACCCAAAAAGGTGTTAACATAGCAATTTTGATCACAAACCACACAGTACATTCTCTTCCTGCTCCTTGCTTTCTACAGTCAGGTCCATAAATATTGGAACATCGACACGATTCTAACATTTTTGGCTCTATACACCACCACAATGGATTTGAAATGAAACAAACAAGATGTGCTTTAACTGCAGACTGTCAGCTTTAATTTGAGGGTATTTACATCCAAATCAGGTGAACGGTGTAGGAATGACAACAGTTTGCATATGTGCCTCCCACTTGTTAAGGGACCAAAAGCAATGGGACAGAATAATAATCATAAATCAAAAACTTTCACTTTTTAATACTTGGTTGCAAATCCTTTGCAGTCAATTACAGCCTGAAGTGTGGAACGCATAGACATCACCAGACGCTGGGTGTCATCCCTGGTGATGCTCTGCCAGGCCTCTACTGCAACTGTCTTCAGTTCCTGCTTGTTCTTGGGGCATTTTTCCCTTCAGTTTTGTCTTCAGCAAGTGAAATGCTCAATCGGATTCAGGTCAGGTAATTGACTTGGCCATTGCATAACATTCCACTTCTTTCCCTTAAAAAACTCTTTGGTTGCTTTTGCAGTCTGCTTTGGGTCATTGTCCATCTGCACTGTGAAGCGTCCAATGAGTTGTGAAGCATTTGGCTGAATATGAGCAGATAATATTCCCGAAACACTTCACAATTCATCCTGCTGCTTTTGTCAGCAGTCACATCATCAATAAATACAAGAGAAGCAGTTCCATTGGCAGCCATACATGCCCACGCCATGACACTACCACCACCATGATCACTGATGAGGTGGTATGCTTAGGATCATGAGCAGTTCCTTCTCCATACTCTTCTCTTCCCATCACTCTGGTACAAGTTGATGTCGGTCTCATCTGTCCATAGGATGTTGTTCCAGAACTGTGAAGGCTTTTTTACATGTCATTTGGCAAACTCTAATCTGGCCTTCCTGTTTTTGAGGCTCACCAATGGTTTCCATCTTGAGGTGAACCCTCTGTATTCACTCTGGTGAAGTCTTCTCTTGATTGGTGACTGACACACATACACCTACCTCCTGGAGGGTGTTCTTGATCTGGCCAACTGTTGTGAAGGGTGTTTTCTTCACCAGGGAAAGAATTCTTCGCTCATCCACCACAGTTGTTTTCCGTGGTCTTCCGGGTCTTTTGGTGTTGCTGAGCTCACCGATGCGTTCCTTCTTTTTAAGAATGTTCCAAACAGTTGTTTTGGCAACGCCTAATGTTTTTGCTATCTCTCTGATGGGTTTGTTTTGTTTTTTCAGCCTAATGATGGCTTCACTGATAGTGACAGCTCTTTGGATCTCATCTTGAGAGTTGACAACAGATTCCAAATGCAAATAGCACACTTGAAATGAACTCTGGACCTTTTATCTGCTCATTGTAATTGGGATAATGAGGGAACACACACCTGGCCATGGAACAGCTGAGAAGCCAATTGTCCCATTACTTTTGCTCCCTTAACAAGTGGGAGGCACCTATGCAAACTGTTGTAATTCCTACACCGTTCACCCGATTTGGATGTAAATACCCTCAAATTAAAGCTGACAGTCTGCAGTTAAAGCACATCTTGTTTGTTTCATTTCAAATCCATTGTGGTGGTGTATAGAGCCAAAAATGTTAGAATTGTGTCGATGTCCCAATATTTATGGACCTGACTGTATCTAGATTTACCCCTTAAAACAATCCCTCACAAAACATAAGAAAACTATGATGCACCCTTCAGAATTTGATCCAACGCATGATTACGTGATGACACATTGGGGATCACACTGCAACCACAGTGACACACTAGAGAAAAAAAATGCAATAAATAAAAGCCATGTTAATCAAGCAAATGTTGCTTGAACCCGTAACTGAAGATCCACAGGTAGAAATGCATCCTGTAAATGGATACTACAAAAGTAAGAAATGAAGGACCGTGTAAGAATACAACTTGTTATGTTCATTAGCCAGAATTGTCAGTTAATTGTTCCTCGAGTAGCAGTTTAGCACAAAAGTATTAATTCATTTAATGCTGATTCTTCACAGCTGCAGGTTAAACAATCTGAAAGGGATTTGTCTGATCAGCAATTGCCTGTCTCACTAGAACAAGCTCTGCAGCCACTGGATCAGTTATAGAAGCACTCTTCCCCTCTTCAAAAGGCCAAGTCTACCTTATAAAATAAATGCAAATAAATCTGAAGGAAAAAAAAAAAAAAAAGTGTGCATTCGTTATTTGCATAGGAGCCGGAGCATTGAAATCAGCTGATCGCCAAGCGCCCACAGACTCTCCCAGCAGTCTTATGTCCTTACTGAGGTAAAGGATATCAGAGATCTGGAGGGTCTACAAAGTGCAAACACCACGCTTGTGTTCCATTGAGAACTACAAGTCTGTCTGCCACAGTGGAAAATGGAACTTGTAGTTGGTTCATTCAAAGACCTCCACATAAATGACACAGCGGTGCTGACAGCAGCTGTGGGGAAAGAACCCTCATACGCGGAGGGAGAACAGACTTCCCAAGATCAATGCGATTGGCTGTCAAAAGTTGTTATATGATTGAAAGCTCATCTGCCGGCTCCCAATGATAACCAGAGACCAGGAGCCGTCTGAGTGCGCTCTCAACAGAGAAACCTCAGCTGCTGGGGAGACTTAGGTGCAGTGTTTGGGAGTTAAAGCCTACTCTCCTGATCAAGGCGCAGTGTTTGGGAGTTAAAGCCTACTCTCCTGATCAAGGTGCAGTGTTTGGGAGTTAAAGCCTACTCTCCTGATCAAGGCGCAGTGTTTGGGAGTTAAAGCCTACTCTCCTGATCAAGGCGCAGTGTTTGGGAGTTAAAGCCTACTCTCCTGATCAAGGCGCAGTGTTTGGGAGTTAAAGCCTACTCTCCTGATCAAGGCGCAGTGTTTGGGCGTTAAAGCCTACTCTCCTGATCAAGGTGCAGTGTTTGGGAGTTAAAGCCTACTCTCCTGATCAAGGTGCAGTGTTTGGGAGTTAAAGCCTACTCTCCTGATCAAGGTGCAGTGTTTGGGCGTTAAAGCCTACTCTCCTGATCAAGGCGCAGTGTTTGGGAGTTAAAGCCTACTCTCCTGATCAAGGCGCAGTGTTTGGGAGTTAAAGCCTACTCTCCTGATCAAGGTGCAGTGTTTGGGAGTTAAAGCCTACTCTCCTGATCAAGGTGCAGTGTTTGGGAGTTAAAGCCTACTCTCCTGATCAAGGCGCAGTGTTTGGGCGTTAAAGCCTACTCTCCTGATCAAGGCGCAGTGTTTGGGAGTTAAAGCCTACTCTCCTGATCAAGGCGCAGTGTTTGGGAGTTAAAGCCTACTCTCCTGATCAAGGCGCAGTGTTTGGGAGTTAAAAGCCTACTCTCCTGATCAAGGTGCAGTGTTTGGGCGGTAAAGCCTACTCTCCTGATCAAGGCGCAGTGTTTGGGAGTTAAAGCCTACTCTCCTGATCAAGGCGCAGTGTTTGGGAGTTAAAGCCTACTCTCCTGATCAAGGCGCAGTGTTTGGGAGTTAAAGCCTACTCTCCTGATCAAGGCGCAGTGTTTGGGAGTTAAAGCCTACTCTCCTGATCAAGGCGCAGTGTTTGGGAGTTAAAGCCTACTCTCCTGATCAGAGGTTAAAATAGACTAAAATGTTAATTTTGATCAGATATATAAGATAGATTAATTAAGAAGGGCTGAAATGATTACCTTTCCTGAAGAAAACATCTGTTTTCTGTTCAGGAGCCATGCACCCATTCAGGGCAAAGTGACTGTTTCTGCAAAGGGCACCCCATTAAACTAACTTTACCAGCATCCCCCCCCCCCCCCCCCCACTGTTGCTTGCTCCTCCACTGGGAAGCAGATGACAACGTTTAGCACTTCTAACTATGAAGGGCATGGAACTGCCTACCCTGTGACGGTACTTGGTTTCAGCAGCCAATCACTAGGGAACCCGAACATTGCCACATCGCTGGGGGAGCGAGGACACGCTCCCTTGGGTCGCGAACATGTGTCATTTCAGCACTGGATGCGAAGTAGGAATGAGCACTGAGGTAGTGTTGGTAAGGAGAGTAAATGGGAAGGGAAGGGGTGCTGTAGGGAGGGTCCGGTTCTAATTATAGAGAGTATACATGGGAGTAAACACTCATTGTCTAGTCAAGCTCTGATGAAGAAGGAACATCCTTCGAAACGCGTCAGATAATCCCTGAGTGTCCACCCCTATGACGGGATTCGCGCAGGTCTTACCATTCCATAGTTCCTTTGAGAATTGACATTCTTGAAATTCTTTTGTTTGCGAGTATATTTTTGTATTCAATAAAATTGGTTTACTGAGGTAATGCGCAAGGTTGGTGCGTTTCTTTTTTGTCTTTGCTTCACAGTATTGGTCGGGCTTCCCCAGCCTTGTTTGGAGCTGCACAACCCCATATGCAAAGGTGGTCGAATTTTTTCTAGTTCGGGTTTCATTCATCCACCTCCTTTGGGTGTTAGAGTGCAAGAGAGTTCGTTTCTACCAAGACTGCAGATAAAACAGGTACAACTTCATTGAAAAAGGATTTGTATCATCTCCGCGTATGACCTGAGGCCAGTCACTTCCACTGGGTATATGTAAGGTTTTACAACCACTAAAAGGCTGTTTTTCCACTGGCAATGACATAGGTATACAAAAAAAAAAAAAAAAAAAAAAAAAAAAGTATGATTTTAAATCAAATAATTCACACGTTTTCATGCGTTTATGCGCATTTAGTTTAGCTTTGTTCAAGGAAAATTCTGGGCATCCAGGCAGATACCCTAAACCAGCAATGGGCAAACTACTACTTTTAATCCGGCCCGCGGAGCGTGGCAAACATTGGCTGTCAGGATGTAGGCGGGGCAGCGTGACAAACTCCTCTCCTCTCACAGTCCGCCCTGAAGACCGGAACGGTGCGGGAACACGGCGAGAGGAAGACGCGGAGCAAAGGTAAGTGAATTGACACTATGGGGGGATGAATTACTATAGGGGGATGAATTACTATGGGGGGGATGAATTACTATATGGGGGGGGATGAATTACTATGGGGGATGAATTACTATAGGGGGGATGAATTACTATAGGGGGGATGAATTACTATAGGGGGGATGAATTACTATATGGGGGGATGAATTACTATATGGGGGGAATGAATTACTATATGGGGGGGAATGAATTACTATATGGGGGATGAATTACTATATGGGGGGATGAATTACTATGCTTACTATGGGGGAATATTTACTATACTTACTATGGATGGCATGGTAGTGGCTGGGCCGGCCAGCAGCTAGTCCGGCCCCCGGGTCCAATATATGAACCCATTGTGGCCCTCAAGTCAAAAAGTCTGCCCACCCGTGCCCTAAACACATAAAACACAGGAGTGTGAATGTAGCCCAAGTTGTCAGACTACTGAAAGTGCAGCTAGTTTACCCATTAGTTTTTTTTTTTTTTTTTAAACTTTGCCCTTAAAAATAGATCTCACCATCAAAATATTAAAGGAAGACACTTAATTCACAACGAAGGGTTATTTATGGTGATAATAATGTTCCAAGAGTGTATCATCTAACACAAGACCATTATTGTAGTTAAAGCCTCAGATTTTTGTGTCCTTCCGCTAGATATAAATGGTTTCCCCAACGGCTCTACAAATGTAACATTAGCTGAAATGTCAAAAGGACTATTGACAGAGGACACCGGAATACTCATAATAGATTCGGAGTTTTGCGTACCTTCAGGTCAAGATGCACCACATTGTGCCTGTGCAAAAATGAAACTCCCTTTAAAATCTGCCTCATGAGCCGCTGGACATCCTTCTCTTTGAAGGCCTCTTCTCTTTCTGCTACACACTGGTTGAAGATTTCACCACCGGCAGCACTATGGGAGAAAAAAAAAAAAACACAAAACAACCAGTTAGAAAAAAAAAAACCAAACAACAAACTTTTGATGTACTTTGGCTGTCCCCATGTGAAATATCCATAAAATAGGCAAAGCATATTAAAGCCATTAACTTTTTTTATATCAATATAACTGTTCAAGTTTACACAGGTAAGTGAAACATTTATAAAAAAGGTCCTCCATGTAGGATCTCTACTAAAATATACAGGCAAAAAATATTTACACCTTGTGAGCAATGCGCTGCGCCCCATTTGTCCACAGAGCAACAGATTTCATATACTCGACCCTTTTCATTTTCAATGGTTTACAGGATGTTAGATTGAGTTATATCAATTTATTATTTACTATCTCAATGTATTCAGTTCTGAAATTACGAGAACATTTATATATGGTGAACCAGAAAAACACTCAATTCCGATAAGGATCCCATTTATGAAGAGGGAAACAAAAGCTATAGAGCTGCGATTTGCACAGGACTTTGATTTCTCAGAGACAGCTTCTGCAAACATGGAATGGAGCCTCTGGGAGAATACAATGGAGGAGGCCTACAGCAATGTCAAACAATGAGAACAGCTTGTGTAACTGGTTACATCATCCTTTGGCTGGTTTAATGAAGGGACTAAATGAAGAGCCAGAGCTTGTGAAGATGAAAACATACACGCTTCCCCGAATTACAATGGAATTACCATACTACCGTACTATCCGTAGAAGGCACAAAAACTTTCACCTTCATTACACTGTTCTAAAGTAAAACTAAAACTTTTTTTTTTTTTTTTTTTTTGAATATAAAAGAGAAAAAGCCCCCACACACAAAACATGTTATACTTACCTGCGCTATATAATGATTTTGCACAGTGCAGCCCTGGTCCTTCTCGGACCTCCGACACTCCTGGCTCCTCCCACCTGCTGATTGTTCACATCCAAGCCACCTGTGCGTGTTCAAGATCCTGCAACTGTGTCTCAGCCAATGAGGAGGGAGAGAACCGGGAGAGCCGCTGCTTTCGTGCACAGCACTGGATTGAGATTGGACTCAGATAAGTGTTGGGGGGGGGGGGGGGGGGGGGGGGGGGGGGGGGGCGGGGGGGGGGGGCGGGGGGGGGGGGGGGGAAAGATATACAGCGATTTGCACATGACTTTTGAATTTCTCACGGATGTTTTTTTACCTTCATTATACAATGCACAAGGGTTTAAACAAAAAAATTATATCTCTAGATCTAGAGACGACTCCCTCTCTACGTCTAGATCTAGATCAGGGGTGGGCAAACTTTTTGACTTGAGGGCCGCAATGGGTTCATATATTGGACCCAGGGGCCGGACCAAAAGTAGATGAATGATGTGTAGGTGTCATCCATCGTAAGTATAGTAATATTCCCCCATAGTAATTCATCCCCCATATAGTAATTCATCCCCCATATAGTAATTCATCCCCCCTATTAAGTCCCCAAGTCCCCCCTGTGTCAATTCACTTACCTTTGCTCCACACGTTCCCCTTGCCGTGTTCCTGCGCCGTTCCGGTGTAGCATGAAAATCTGTCTCCTATGAGGATCTGTCCCCCTCGACGTATCTGCGCATGTGCCAGTTTCAGGCATTAGCAGCCGATCTGCGATCTCCGGCACATGCGCAGATACGTCGAGGGGGACAGATCCTCATAGGAGACAGATTTTCATGCTACACCGGTCTTCAGGGCGGACTGTGAGAGGAGCCTAGCTCCCCTCACGTTCGTCAGGCTGCCCCGCCTACACACATCCTGACAGCCATCCTGACAGTATCACACTCCGCGGGCCGGATTGAAAGGTCCGCCGGGCCATATACGGTCCGCGGGCCGTAGTTTGCCCATTGCTGATCTAGAGACTCCTCCCTCTCCAGATCTCCCTCTCCAGATCTCCCTCTCCAGATCTCCCTCTCCAGATCTCCCTCTCCAGATCTCCCTCTCCAGATCTCCCTCTCCAGATCTCCCTCTCCAGATCTCCCTCTCCAGATCTCCAGCCTTTACCACCACTTTACTATGATGTGCTATTTGAAAAAATGGTTGCTAGATATATTAAAGACTACAACTTGTCTACAGAAACAAAAACTAGAAGATGCAAGATATATTGATAAAATAAGCTGAACTGCTTCCCCCATCACCACATTTGAGGTAGATGGGGAATCCTCCCTGCTGAGCTATTGTATTCTGACAGCGGGGAAACTCTTCTGCTGTCAGAATTCACAGATCGTGGGCTGCAGCCAACTGCCTGTACCGCTAATCGAGCGGCTTTTATCTGACAGGTCGCTTGAAGAAAAAACACAAAAGTCAGTAGACTGACATCTGTTCAATTGCACTGGCCATACATGGATCAAACGTTAGCCGGTCCCTGCTTAACCCAGCTGAATTTTGATCCATTTATGGCTGGCTTAAGACCTTATATTCAGAAGATTAATTGCAGACATTAAACATGGGCAGCACCAGTCAGTGAACAGCAGCATTTTTTTTTGGACGTTGCCAAAGTTTACCTTCACAGCAATTCATAAGAAACACATGTACATAGAATCATGGTGATAGAGATCAGGATTTTCAAGACCCTTTCACATTGGGCAGCCTCCATTTAGATCAGCGAAGTATCTGGCCACAGATCCCCTGCTGATCAGAGCAGGGCTGGCGGATGACAGGTATGTGGCTGCTCTGTTTATGCCACGGGTGTCAAACTGGTGGCCCTCCAGCCATTGCCAAACTACAAGTCCCATGAGGCATTGCAAGATTGACAGTTACAAGCACAATTTCCCAAAGGTAGAGGCATGATGGGACTTGTAGTTTCGCAACAGCTGAAGGGCCGCCAGTTTGACACCCCTGGTTTATGCAGAGAAGATGTGGACAGACCCTGCTCTGTTCTATGGGCAGGCAGCAGAGTCCATTTACACCCAACTGCCCTCTGATCTGATCCTCTTAGATGGAGGATGGATCCACTTCTGTTTTTTTAGCGGAATGAACTGGAGGTAGGTGGGTTTAAAAACAGATCATCCGTGTGAGAGGCTGCTATAAACACGGGAACGGATCTTGACCTTGGTAAGGTTGGTGGTACCAGCCAGCCTGGTCTGAGTATTTCAGAAATAGTTGATGTCCTGAGATTTAAAGGATAAGTTCACCTTACCACAAAAAATAAATGCACTTCTTTTTTTTCCCAGTTAAAAAAAAAAAAATGTGCATTTATTATTTTTTGTGTTAGGAGCCTGTAAAGCATTGCACCAGCAGTGGGTGGAAGCTGCAGGATCGGAAACATGTTACATGTTCCACCCTGAAAATGGGTGGAACATCTAACATGTACCCAAAAGGTGAACCTACCCTTTAACCTCCTCGGCGGTATGATTCTTTCCGATTTTTTTGTGCTGAAAGCGGTACCATTTTTTTTGCATGGAAATATGTAGTTTTTTTATTGTAGGCTGTAATTTTTAGGAATAACTCACTGAAATCTGTCCGAACGAGTCTAGTAAACATCCCGGGGAGGATAAAACTTGAAACACAAAATCATAAATTATAATATAATAAATAATCATAAAAAAATATAATAATAAATTTAATTCAATATAATCAAACCAAAAACACTGAAATGTGAAATATAGCGCCAAGTTCGCACATCGCTGAGCAAAGTCGCAAAATTGTTTTCAGTGTCTGATGAGGAATTTCCCCCACGAATCATTATCACTCAATTCTGCAAGTGGTTCTGATTTACTATCGCTGTTCTCTAGCCGGTCTAAAACCGCTTTTGACCTAAAGGAACACTTTTTGGACGCCATGGACTTTTCTAAGTTTCCAGGCAGAAAGAACAGACAAAATGCAGGCAGGGCGCCGGACAAAGCACTCGGGACAAAATGTATGTGAAATGCATTGAAACAGCAATGTTAAAAAAAATACATTTTTAAAAAATTTCAAATATACCGCCGGTTACGGCGCCCGTACGTCCCAACGTCACAGGGACCGGAACACGGAAGCCAGGTGCCGGCATCGGCCGGAGGAGATGGCCGGGGACGCTGCAGGGGACACATTGCGGGAGCGAAGGACAAGGTAAGTGCTGCAGGGACTTCCTGAGCAACGCCGCATGGTAAGCCCGAGTGTAGCTCGGGGGGGGTTACCGCTTTTGGTACTCAAATTTTACCCCGAGCTACACTCAGGAATACCGCTAAGGAGGTTAAACACACATGCACCTTGGGAGTTTACGACAATATAATAGATTAAATCTACCATCTTCAGTGAGTGAAGGCACTTGCGAAAAATGGTTTGTGCTGGGAAAAAGTAAAATCGTAAATCAAATAACTACTTTTTACAACTGTGATGAGCAGAACATCTCCGAATGAACACATCTAACCTCGAGGTGGGTGGACTACAGCAGCGGAGGACCAAGTCAGCAGAAGACCAGCCCATTGGATCTGAAAGCAATTCAACACCATTGGCATGTGGCAGATTTCACAGAATGAATGTTCATTTGACAAATCTGCAGAAATTGAGCGATTAAATCATTTCAACCTGGACTAGAATCTCAAAATAAATGTAATGTGAAATCCACGCCACAAAGAACTGAGACAGCTCTGAAGCAAAGGAATGCCCTACCGACTATCAGTATAAACTGCTCAGTGAGTGCCAGCTGCCAACACTTTTTGCAGAAATTTGTTCCAGAACAAAAAAGTATCACCGCATTGCCTTTAAGGTGCACGGATTATAAAGTATCACCGCATTGCCTTTAAAGTGCACAGATTATAAAGTATCACCGCATTGCCTTTAAGGTGCACGGATTATAAAGTATCACCGCATTGCCTTTAAGGTGCACGGATTATAAAGTATCACCGCATTGCCTTTAAGGTGCACGGATTATAAAGTATCACCGCATTGCCTTTAAGGTGCACGGATTATAAAGTATCACCGCATTGCCTTTAAAGTGCACGGATTATAAAGTATCACCGCATTGCCTTTAAAGTGCACGGATTATAAAGTATCACCGCATTGCCTT